TATATATATATATATATATATTAGAGACAGAGACCTCGTGAATAAAAATAAGAAAAGTGCAGCAGCACCCGTGCAGAAGCAGCAAATAAAAAGCAAATTAAAAATAATAATAATAATAATAATAATAATAATAATAATAATAATGTGGTAGACAATCAAACAGAGACAGCTTATATCTGCTGCTGCTGCTAACAAAGAGAGACAGCACTGCGTCAGCCATACAAACATCGTTCAATAAATAAATACAAAATAAAACTCTTTGCTGCGCAGCAGCAGCAGAAGAAGCAGCAGAAGCAGCAGCAGCAGCAGAAGCAGCAGCAGCAAGCCCCTCGCTCGGCTGCTGCAGCAGCAGCTGTGCATGCAGAGGCGCTCAATGTATACACCCCAATACCGACAAGGATATATAAGGGTTTAGGGTTTAGGGTTTAGGGTTTAAGGTGGATGAAAGTCAATCAAAAAAATGCGTTATCAGAACCCGCTGCTGACAGCCTCAGAAACGTTGGCTAGTCGCAGCTATACCTTCACCTAGCTAGCTAGCTAGCTAGCTAGCCAGATAGGGAGACTAGCTAGCTAGCTAGCTGGCTAGGGAGACTGTGAACTAGCTGGCTGGCTAACTCGCCAGCTAACTAGCTAGCTACCTGTGTAGCTGGCTAGCTCGCTAGATAGCTACCTCGCTAGCTAGTTATCTAGCTAGCTTGATAGGTAGCTAGCTAGCCAGCTAGAGAGACTAGCTAGCTAGCTAGTTATCTAGCTAGCTATGTAGCTAGCTAGCTATAGAGGCAGCTGGCTGGGGGCTGCTGCCTGCTGGCGTTTGGACAGAGCTTCGACCCACGAGGCCTCATCGTCTGCTTCTCCTTCATAAACAAACACAGACAATAACACTAACACCTCCAGCAGCAGCAGCAGCAAATGCAGCAGCAGCAAATGCAGCTAATGCAGCAGCAGCAGAAACAGCAGCAGCAGAAACAGCAGCAGACGCAGCAGCAGCAGCAACAGCAGCAGCTGGTAATGGCGTTCCTGCTGACCTGCAGCATCCGAGGCAGACACAGCAGCAGCAGCAGCAGCAGCAGCAGCAGCAGCAGGGTGTTCCTGATCGCGACAGAGTCTTTTTGCTTTCGGCTGCACCGGCTCTGCTGCTGCTGACAGCAGACGAACGCAACTGGGTGCAGGCGCCTCAGAGAAATAGGGATGAGCCAAAGCTGCACACAGCAGCAGCAGCAAATGCAGCAGCAAATGCAGCAGCAAATGCAGCAGTAAATGCAGCAGCAAATGCAGCAAATGCAGCAGCGGGACGGCGGCAGCAGCAGGTGCAGAGGCAGTAGCAAATGCAGCAGCAGCAGCAAGAAGAGCAGCAACAGCAGCAAATGCAGCAACAACAGCAGCAAAAGAAGCAACACCAACTGGAGCAGCAGCAGCAGCAGCAGCAACAGCAGCAGCAGCAGCAGCAACAGCAGCAGCAGCAGCAACAGCAGCAGCAACAGCAGCAGCAACAGCAGCAGCAGCAGCAACAGCACCAGCACTTTACCGTCTCTAGCCGATATTCTGCTGGCGGGATCAAAGGCCAGCAGCTGCTGCAGCAAATCCACGCAGGCGTCGGTCTGACTGCAGAAAACTCTTTTTAAAACCCCCTCCTTCTGCAGTTCAAACAAACAAATAAACATAACCCTCACATAAACCCTAAACCCTAAACCCTAAACCCTAAAACCCGAGATACTAGACTCTAAACCGTCTAAATCTTGAACCTTAAAACTCTAAACCCTAAGACACTAAACCCTAAACCCTAAACCCTAGACTCTAAACCCTAAGTATAAATGTGTACTCAGCGTAGAGCCATTAGGGTTTAGGGTTTAGGGTTTAGGGTTTAGGGTTTGAAGACTGAAAAAGAGTTTAATTAATAAGAAGTATATCATTGATGTAATTCGCTGAATACGGAGAATCAGCTGTAAGTAAATGATAATATCTGCATAATAGAACTAAATAAAATATATTTAATTAGATAAAGAACAATAGCTAATAATATAATTAATTAATTAATTAATTAATTAATTATACCTTTACTTCAAAGTTAAAATTCTTATAACCAGGAAGAGACTGAAAAGCAGACAAAACTGCAGCTGAGGGGGTGCCCACCATCGTCGTTATCAAAGACATCTGCACATAAAATGTTCTTCTTTGTTTGTTTAAACATATTAAATAGAAATAAATATATATAAATATATATATATATATATATTATTGTGTTAATGCAGTATAATGCACTTAATATAATATTATTATTATTACTAAGAAATAATAATAATATGTTTAATAAAAATATAATATATACATTAGTTTGTTTAAATAAATTAAATAAATAAATATTACTGTAAGAAGTATATTTAAAACAAAATAATGCATTTAATATAATTATTAACAACAGATATAATAATATGTCTTTAATATTACATGCTGCATTTAATATACGATTATTATTATTATAATAAACAAACTAAAAAAATAAAAGAAGTAATAATAAACAAAGTATTATATTAATAATAATATAAACAAATAAAATAATAAATAGAGTATTATATTATTATAAACAATAAAAACAAATAATTAATTTATTCTTCGATAGCTTAAACAAACAAAAACAAAAAAGTCTTCACCTGATGCTTCTCCGTCTTCCCAGGAAGGAAGGGCCTAACAAATAAATAAATAAATAAATAAATAAATTGACTAATTAATTAATTAATTAATTAATTAATTAATTAATTAATTAATTAATTAATTAACTTCAAATAAAGACGTCAGCAGCAACAGAAGCAACAGCATCAACAGCAGCAACATCAATATCAGCAGCATCAAAATCAGCATCATCATCATCATCATCAGCAGCAGCAGCAGGATAAGCAGCATCATCATCATCATCAGCAGCAGCAGCAGGATAAGCAGCATCATCATCAGCAGCAGCAGCATCATCATCATCATCATCAGCAGCATCATGATCATCATCATCATCATCATCAGCAGCAGCAGCAGCAGCAGCAACAGCAGCAGCAGCAGGATGAGCAGCAGGAGCAGCAGCAGCAGGATGAGTTGTAGCATGGTACCCGTTGGTGAGTAGGCCAGCGAAGATGCATCCGGCTGCCCACAAATCGACAGGCGGTCCGTAGTCCGCCGACTGCAGCAGCAACTCGGGTGCACGGTACCACAGT